ATAACGTATGGTATCCTACCCATGACATATATGTTTTTTCAGTTTATACAAAAACAATCATCACAACGATATTTCAATACAATAAAAAATATGTATATCTTCTGTCCTCATTCCTTGGGGGCAATGTAGTGGCAGGTATGTAAATTTTCTTTTTATATTATTACGCATAATATGGTAGCTTCAATTCACGGAAACCTTATAACAAAATATCATATTATTTTTTTGGTTGGGAAAAAAATGAAAGTATATGGGGGAATACGAAATTATTTGAGTAAATGAAGTCACTGTGCGGTACGGCTTATCTATACACATTATGGTTAAAACTATATGTGTACATGTTTTTTGTCCGTAAGTCGATTCCATTTCAATGGTAACGATTTCGAATATGTTTGACAAATGATAAACATTAATCAAATCGAGTTTTTCGTTTATTAAAATAAAATAGCTATTTGGCCCTCATCATCATCATCATTGTTATCATAGCCACACCACAACCTTCATTTTATATAAAAAAATATTATTTTTCATTTTTATGTTTCAATTTATTTACATGTCACGAATTTATACAATAAAATATTACACACAAAACTTTCTCGTTTACTTTTAGTCGACAATAAAGTATTTTTTCAGTTATTGAAACAAAATAACGTCAAAAGGAAAAACAAAAATGTCTTTTGTAATTCAGTTCTAAATCTATCCGTATGTTGCATTGTATTATACTTTTATGTATTTATTCTTTGTAGTAAGTCCAAATTATCCCTAAAACCTTTTTTTTTTAATAATGTATTATAACATTACTTTTTTAAATTACTATCCGGGATATTTTAATTTGACAAAAGATTGAGTTATGTCCATTGTAAGAAATAATTCGAAAATTCCTATACGTCAGTATTTTTAATATACACTTTATTTTATACATTAGTAATGCAATTTTAAATACAGTATTTTATAAAATTTGTATATAAATATAACATTTTTATCATTCTTATTAAGATTTTCCTTTACATTTTATGCGTTAAAAACTTCCAATACACGTGTATGAAGATTTAGACATTTATAAAGTGTACCAATATAATCTGATTCTCACTACATCAATGACTTAGCCAGAATTTTTTAGCGGGGCTAACAACCTATGTGTAGGTGTATGTGGCAAGCCACTTATAACTATTAAGAGTATGTGATAAATCACATATTCTTAATAGCGCTAAAGTCTTCTATTATTATTAGTAATAATTGACCGATGAAGGGCTATAGTCTCATTAGCCCTCTACTTGGTTACGCCACTGCGTTATATAGTATGATAATTGAATTATATCTGTTACAACTCGTCAACATCAACTGTCATTAAAAACGGTAACAAAGCTCCAAAAACTCTCTTCAAATCGGTTTTCATTATCATTGTTTAAATTTTTGTACGAATATTATTTGAACGATTTTTTATTCTCATCCATAAATATATTAATATATTTTTTCAGCCACTGTTCGCTCATGCGGAATGTTTGTGAGCAAAAACGCTTTTACGGGCAATCTGTTTTTTTTTGTATTAAATTATTCGAAGCTTTTACGAAGACAAATCGAATGATGACCCTACAACAGCTCTTTTTTTTTGTACCAAAATGGATAATGACATTTTGTTGCTGTTCCCAGAGATTATATCTTATTATACTGATTGAACTAAACGATGACTCGAGTTTTCTTCTTTTTACTTCCCTATATTTTGTATATAAATGTTTTTTTAGCTCACCAATAGAGGGTGTGCCTGATGAAGCGAGTACGCGTGGCCATTTGTCGGTTTACGATGATTTGTCAAAGTCTCGGTACGTTCAATAAACTTCCGTACCAAAATACACATGATTTAATAAGATAAATTGAATATGCGTTAATTTTATTGAGTCGTCAAAAGATCTACAAAATAAAACGTCAACCAGAAACATTGTACAAGTTTAGAGGTTTTAATTAACAAATTTCAGTATTTGAAAACAACTTCTGTAATATTGATATGTGGGTATTATTATCATCATACACTATTAGTAAAGATCAGTCGTGCTGTGTACACTTTAAATACAAATTCTTTTAGCTTGATAAAAAATTTTTAATTTTAAAACAACTAAATTTGAAGCAGAACTCTTTCTATGTCCGATTTAATTAGTATAGTGGACTAAGCGTGCTAAATAAAAAACCTCTAAATGTTTAGGTTATCGCAGATATAATGTTTACAAGGATTGATATATTCGGCGGATGTGCTTCGTCATCATTAACTTTATGATAATGCTGTCGTCTCCCTACCAAAATTGCGACGTGTACAAAGCGCTGGAGAAAATCGAATCAATGGGCCGGAGTAGTGCAATGTGTACGGCGTGCGAAACGGTCCAGCTCGTGATAGATGCGGCATCGGTTCGAGGTTTGATGAAACGTGAACTGATAAATGACATATACTACACGCCTCCTCCGGCCTGGTGTGATAACGGATGAGCGTTGACGGCCGTGTGGACATTTGCGAATATATAAAAAAAATGAGCAAAAAAAGTAAAAAATTGATACTAAAAAAAAAAAAAACAAACCCTCCTGCGGTCATTAACGGTACACGTGTAATACAAAACAGGGGATGTTTGAATTGTCCACCAGTTCGGAAACTGTCATCAATTTGTCTATGCCATGCGACCGGCTGCTTGTTCTTCTTTTTTTATTTGTTTGGAGATTGGTCATTTTTTAAATGTTTTATTAAACACCAAAGATTATATATATTAAATAAATAGTACACACAGACATTTTAATTGGACTTTTTGTAATTACGAACAATAATAAGTTGTTGACTGATTTAAAAAAAAAATAAGTTCGGATCGACATTTTTCAACATTACCTAATGTAAAAGTAAATAAAAATGTTTTTATGCGATTTTTTTTTTTTAATTAATATTTTGACATGGGTGTTTCATATTTATCTATTTAGGCTAAAATTTAGCCATAATGTACTTAATTCTAAAAATAAAAAACTTTTAAGTAAATAAGTAAATTATAAAATAATTGTAATGAAAAAATTTTAGTTTCGTAACCTATAAGAGTATAAATACAATACGTCTAGTTAAGGCAGTTGAAATAATTAGTTTCAATAACATAGTAAATACATTTAATAATCCGAAATAAAAGATAACGTGACAAGAGAGTTATTATTGATAGATATAATGATAAAATACTGTAAATTAAATTAATAATTAAACAAATAGAAAACATTATTTAGTCATGTAATATTAATGGTGTTATAAATTTAAATACATCTGAAGTATAGTTATAATCTTGTGGAATTTTTTAAAAATTATTATCATGTAAGTTTATCTATAAATGTAATTGTATAATTATAAATGTTTAAAAATTATTATTTGTTACTATGAACATTATCTTTTGAAAATCAAATTTAAGTACTACAACATCGTATATATGAATTCAACAACAAAATGACTGACATAACTAATGAACTTTGGTCATAAATGAAACAACTGGCCAATCACATTTTTAATATTTAGATACATATATTGATATGTCGATTATTATTTTTCATTATCTTTGATATTTTCATTTTACCGCAATTCTTTAAATGAAATTCTTCTTATTTTTCCTCGCCTTAATCCCAACTACTTGGAGTGGGCCAAATTAAAATTAAATTCTTTGAATGAAATTAAAAAAAAAAAAAATTGAAAATATGTCATTTCTTTAGAAGATTTGTTATTTATTTTTATGATGATCAAAATACTAATGATTGCCGAAAAAATAAGTATAAACTACGTTAAACAATATTATTTCTATAATTGTATTAAAGTAAACAACCATAAAGATTAATAATGAGTAATTATTTTTATCTACTATAAAACTGTGGGGGACTTTTTAAACTTAAATTATAATTACGAATTATACTAGAAAATCATGCGCGAAATTCATAAATACACTTTACGAGTATTTCTTACAATAATTCGAAGTTAATTTTTCAGATTGAAATTTCACTGTGTTCACTTGAATTTCTGCAAAAACGACGTATAAACATAAATTTGCATATGCCATTTACGATTTTGTTGTCGATCGATCGCCTACAGACATTGCAAAACAATATAATAACGTGGACATTTTTACCCGAAGGCAAAAGTGCTCAATTTCGTTATTTAAATTCAACAACCGATGACGTCTACCACCCTATTATTAGAGTCCATACTCGTACACGTATGTATAGTCAATTTATACACAAACAATAAAGGGCTGCCTATGTATACCTTATTGGTGTGACACATCGGAATTGTGCGACAAGCGCAGCTGTCTGACAGCGAGTACCTCGTTATGAACTTCATATACGAATAATATGAATTTACAATATGATGCAAACGCATTTTCTAATGTAATATTGAAATAGCACGATCGTTTTTGAAACACATCAGATCACATGCAGATATCCGGGAAATGTTGTACCTTATTGATGTTTCAAATGAGAGGTATTTATACGTACTCGACATTCAATACTAAGGTTACTCTCAGAACAGTAAAGTCGAAGTCTTTTGATCCGCAAAACTGTCATTATGCACTACTGCCTATACTAATATTGTGTAATACACACAATACGCCAGACGTTTAGCAATATTAAGCTCTGTCAAAGACGTTGTTTCAATCTACTTACAATTAATAATTTACTTTGATTATACAATACAATTTACATAACAGAAACAGATGTTTGTCGTCATAATATAAAGATTTATGCTAATGACTCTTATCTTAGACGATATAACTATGGTAACTCTTTATACAATGGTTGATTTTAAAATGAAACCCCACTTGATGTTAGATGGACTTGCTTTTAACATTACAAATAGGACCAAAAGTGATCTGTAGTACATACAAACATTCAAATTTTTTTTTCAATTACAGATTTTTTATTTAAAGACAACAGTTATTGTACACGTAAAATATTTAAAATTTAAATTTTAGCCTATATATTTATATATATATATATATATTATACATGGTACATGGTGTTAATTTATAGTCATTTAATATATTAAAGTTTAAACGTAAAAATAAAAATAATAACTAAAACAAAAGACAAAACTTTAGCTCATCATTCATCATCTTGGTCATGTTTTACAGAATTTAACAACGAAGTGGTTTGGGTGAAAAAAGCATCCATCAAAGTTTTTTGATTTTCTAACATATCGCGCATTTGTTTTTCCATAAGTTTATTTTGTTTAGTTCGTTCTCTACGCCAGTCTTCTTTTAAGTCTTTAATTTGGTTTTCTAATGACTGTAATTTTTGGTACATTAGTTGTTCTGCAGAGCTGTCCGTTTGGGTATGCACATCACACGTTTGAATAATATCAACTTGAGGCTCGGCTATTCTAAAGTAGTCGGTCTCCATTTTCATGTCATCCATAACTTCACTCTTAATGACTTCAACTGAGTCATTATGAGGAGGAGAATCTAAGAAATATAAAGAATTATAGTAACTATCTCGAGTATTTAAAAATATTGAAATAAAAATTGAATTAAGCAACAACTAATTTTTTTTTTTTTTTTTTGATATGTAGACATTTTTTTTAACTTTGTGTCGATTTTAACATTAATTTTTAAAAGTTTTGGACATAAATTTTTTCAAATAAGTTTTTTAACGTGACTTTTATACATTGTATGAAGTAAATTATTGATATCAGCTAAATAAATATTATTTTTGTCAAAAAAAAAATATTTACTTGAAATAACTTCACATAAATATGTCATAGTATTGCTGGGTTTACAACCTAGAACTTCATGAAGTAAATGAAAATAAGACATTCTTGAACTCGCTGCTCCATTTTTTTCAATCCTGACTAATTCAACTTTGTAATCTTGCTTCAAATGTTTCCATTTAGTTCTAAGTTGAGCCGCATCTCTGGTAAAACCAGCTGCTGACATTGGCTCGACCAGACTGGTATAAAGATCTGAATTTCTTTTTCTACGAAAAAAAAAAAAATAAATTGAACGTAATTAAAGCATTCACTTTTCTATAATTTAAATAAATAATTTTTTATTATAACTAACTTTAAAATAATGGCGGAATTGTTTTAATAAGGTCAAAGGTATATTAAAACAACCAAACAAAATTTAACTTAAAACCTATGTTTACACTTATAGTGTAAATACAAAAATTAATTCAATAGATATTCTGTCATAAAAAATATATGTAGATTTATATGATGATCTTTAGAATAGCAGACTTTGAACGAATTATTATAAGATATCCTTCAAAAAAAATGTCATCAATATCATAAATGTTTTATTAACATAAACTTTGTTTTTATTTTAGAATGATATCAAATTCTTAAAATATATAATTATGAAACTCTATATTTAATTTTACTATAATCCATTATTATTTTAAATGTCTTAATATTTATAAAACTTGTGGACATCATCCACTCAAATTTATTTTAATTTGTGCCTGATTGAGGCTAATAGCAAATTATTAACTCTGATTATAATACCTTTGAAACAGTTATTACATGATCGATGGAACATTTTTTTCAGTAAAGTATATTGAGAGATCTTTTCTAATCAAAAGTTGTACAAAAAATATAATGCATTTTCAAAAACTATTAAATTTCTCATAAAGCAATAATTATTAAAAAAAAAAATTGATTTTGTTAAGTATTATTAATTCTTGATTAATAAGTGGTTAAATATTTTTTAGGCTTATCTCTTATCTTTTAAATGGCAACCTACATATTTAACTAGTTTATATAATAAAAAATAATCCATATAAGAATATGACTAATTGATAATAACTTTTAAACCAGTATTTTGGGATTTATTAACGATTTTAAATATAGTTTGGGGGCCAGGGCGGATTATATTATTTTTATCATTATGCATTTTTGCTCGCGATACTACTCCTTTCCAGGTATTAAAATATTTATAACACATGAACTACTGTTTCAAAAGTTGTTACTGACCAGTTATTTTTCAATTATTTATTTTCTATTGTGTGAATTAGTTAAATATGTATGTTGCCATTAAAAAAAATAAGTTTGTACCCTTATACGGGAATAAAAATATAAGGAGTATATCTAAAGAATATTTAATCATATATAAATAAAAAATTCTAAACAAAATCAAATTTTTTTTTTAAATTATTATTTTAAGAGAAAACTAGTAGTTAAAGATATGTATGAATAGCTCTGTATAAAAGGTATTGCCAACATTAAAAAGATTAAACTTGAATTATGAATTAATTCCACAGTAAATTCACATGCAATTATATGTAAATCTGTGTTATGAAAAACACTTGGAGTAATAAACTACTATATGCAGAGTTCATGTGGCCTAGTCACCTGTAATGTATTACTAACACGTCACACTTTCACTTTGCAGAATTGATTTGCGGTTAATGTTACCTACTTTATTTAGAGTTGATATTTTGTGATTAATTTTATAGTCCTGTATGAATTATATATCAACTGGTGTATACACGTTAGAATAATTTGTTGTTTTTTAATTTTTATTATTGCCCGTAAACGATGGAAATTGAAATAAAGATTCTATTTTGCTGTTATAACTTGGTATGAATCTAAAAAAACATGTTTTCACGAAGATAGAGACTAGATATAACGTTACAAGTTATTTTCTGAATCTGTCCTATAAAAATCGTATGTTCACAAGAACCCAAGTTCTGTATCCCATTAACGACATACTGGACTGGTTTCGCCTGGTTTGTAAAAATGTGAGCCTGTACTGACTTATAGAAATGAAAGAATGTATACCGAGACACAAATAGTTTTTGGAGCCTTGAACGGTTTCTAAATTTTCATTAACAGAACTGTTTAACAATATCTATTTAATTCAAAAATACTTGAACTCCTCCATTGGTTCAGAAAAAAAAAAACAAGGTATAAAATTGAACAGTTTTACTTCAATTATTTTATTAAAAGTCAAAATAACTTGAATGATAATTATGAAATAAAGTTTTTGATAGAAAATTTAATTAAATTTTAAATACCTTTAATTGATAGAGGTATTAAATTATTATACTGCAAATAAATATTATATATTTAATTAAATGTGGGAAAATATTTCTTGACTACATTAAAGAAAATTATGCTTAAATTAAAATTACATATGCAATGTATGAAGAGTTTTTACTTAATTTAACACACTGGGCTATTTAATATACATTTAAATTCATGTTATTTGTAAAAATAAAAAAATAAATTAAATAATACCAACTCATATTTTTATCATATATCACTCATACGATTAGCTACAATAAATTTATTACAAATGCTATTAAAACTAGGTTTATGAATTATAGTTAAACCGAAATCAATCGTGACCTTACTTGTCACTCGTGTCGTATTCATTTGCGCAGCGAATACAAATAACATTCTAGATAAGCAAGTGCATCAATAATATAACAAACTTTTGAAAATTAACTATTTTATAAAACAAATTACAATATTGATGTTTAGTGACCATTGAAAAACAGTAAATTAAATTCAATAAATTTAATAGAATGAAACTATGAAGGAATTGAGTAATCATTTTATCAACACACTTTATCTGTTATTTACAGATATTACATTTTTTTATTGGTTCAAATAAATAAATAACAAGATTAAATTATAATTAATACTATCAAAAGCATTAAAGCACAGATACGTAATACAATGTATAGAATATTCTTCTAAAGACAATTTTTGAAGTAATCAATATTCTACAAGTAGTTAGTAGTCACAATATTTTTATATTCAGTACTTATCATTTATAATGACAACGTAAAACTAACTAGTAAATATTCGTTTATATTCTATGGTCCCATATGAGTAAAACGTTTTCTCCCTTCAACCGTTTGAAAACAACCACTACCCCTCGCCCCAGACCGTTACATTCAAAATTTTATATAGCACACGCGCTTGCGCAAGACGCAATTCCCGTGTTTAATTTGCCACCGACGAACACTTACCTTTTGCTGTCCAACATGTTGGTCATGCCCATGTCGATGATCAGTCTTATAAAGTGTTCCGTCTCCCTGTCCGACCATATGTATCGTTTTTTTACGTCTTGCATTTTGTTAACGATGGAATGAATATCAAGCAAATAATAACATCAATTACGACAGAGGTGTTGTGTTGCCTAACAACAGCAATGGGTATCGTTGAAATTCAATTTTTTAAAACGAACGAAACAAAATTAAAGCGAAAATGTAATTACCGCACAAGTGACGAGGACGTTACGCGCGCATACCGCAGTAGGTACGTTCCGGCACTGGTTCGCACGCGTGTGGGCCTACCTCGGTCGTATCGAGCTGGCTCAGTCCCGGGCCTGGTCGAGTGCACGCGAAGCAGCTGTCGTCCGGAGCGCATGCGCGAGCTCCGTCCCATCGTAACCGTCCGTTGTGAGTGTATCACAACGTATGTGTGTGTATTTGTGTGAGCGCCTGCTGTACGGCGGCCGCCTGTGTCGGCCCAGTTTCGGGACCACCGCCGCCGCCCGTCATCACCGTCCCCCCTGCTCTCCTTTCTTCTTTTTTCCCCTCCCGTACCGTCACTTCACGGCCGTTGGTGGCGGCACTCGCGCCTAAAATCCCACGACCGTAACCGGAATCGCATCAGGACCCCAACGGACCGGTATATCATGTATGTGTATGTTTGTTAGATCAAACTAGGATCGACCGAGTTATCGAAAAAACAGTTTATAGGTCGGCGGGTATTCATCAGTTGATACACTCGACTACTGTTGTGATTATATTGAATAAAATATGTTCAGATACACTGCGGAAGATCGCCCAGAAGTATTTGTCGACAGTGGGCTGAACTATTGTACTCGCAATGTAAAATTTGGATCTAATAATCACATAAGCGAAGATTTACACAACGTCAATAAAAGTGTGTTGTAGTGGCGTTGCTTTAAAGGTGTTACAATCATTTAGAAACTACATGCGTAGTAATTACTATTGACACACAAAATTATTGTGTACGTTTTAAAACAACTCACTAAATAACTATTTTAACACGAGTAAAGTTGTTGTGGTGGGAACAATTATTGCGTTTCAAAAAGTTAGTATTAAAAACCAAATTAAAAATGTGTCCACTCTGTTTATGTTTAAATGTGTCTATGTCGCTCATTCAGGTGTTTATTTTGCTGACTCAAAGTTATTCAAAATTCGTGTAAGCTTTATTTTTCATATTATATAAGCATATGGTGTACTGGCATCAGTTTAGGTAGCATATACTTACTGAAGATGCACATTTACAGTGTGATGAGCCAAAGATAAGACTTAAGTACAAGAACCATTGACGCATTAGTAATATTTTATATTTACGTAGGAATTGTTTAAATTATAATAGGTTTTACAATTAGTAATACAACACGTTGTAGACTACTCATAGTACAATGAATGAAACCTGCATAAATAACTATGGTAGACACGAATGGAACCATATTCAAGGTAACAAGCGAAAAATAAGCAAGTAATTACGAAAAAATATAAAAAAAACATAATATGTTAATACGCTAAACTATTAAGGATGAATATTATAATAAAATAATCTTCTTTAATTTTATCATTCAAGAGTATTTTAATAACAAAAATAAAACATTTATTGATATTGCTTCAAGGACAACCATTTTCTTTCATAATATGTTTATTATTAGCGTGATCATGTTTTATTAATTTATTGTTGTTTTAAAAATATAATCTATTAAGATTAGGAAACATTGTCTGAAACTTAAATTAAAAATAAATAATTTATTTTTTTAATTTAAGCAAGCAATTGATCACTATTTTTACAAAGGTTGATAAGCACAAGGTAGTTTTTAAATTTATTTCTCTAATTTGATTGTGTCATGCATTAATAAAAAAATTATTCACAATTTTTTTACCAATTAAAATAAAATTTAATAAATGAATAATACATTTTTAAATAAATTAAACGTGTTAATTTATTATTGTTGCTATACTGATTAGATAAATTTAAACAGATTCAGAATTAACCATGTTAAGAATAATTATACATCAATTACGTTGTCTAAGCATAAGACTTTTTTTATGTTTAGAAAAATTGTTCAACAAAAATTAAATAACGATTATTTTGTAGTCCAAAGTCGGGTTCAAAGACTAGTGTTTTCTCACTCAAGTAATCTATCTGATTTAAATACTGTTTTTGAAAAGCCATAACGAGTAACGGTGATGGGGAAAAATGACAAAGTGACGAATTTCAATGACAAATACCTGTTGGCAAGCCAAATAGAAAATCCGTTCAATGAAAAATCCGCGAACCGTGTAAATTTAATTATATCGTCAGAGCAACGTATATTAATATTTTCGGTATTATGTTCACTATGAAATATTTAATAATGTACAATACCATCGTGTACTGGTACAAGATTCGTTTGCTATTAACTTCGCTTTCAGCCTTTGTATAAAACCAAATGGTCTAAACGCTCGTTTCAGACTTCGATTCACACCAAAAGTTGCATCTAATCTCATTATCCTTTTGAACTTGACTACCGTGCCGGATACTGAAAAATTGATTTTTATTGGCACGTGCTCACGTTATAAGTGCGTTTACTAGTAACTAATTACGTTATGTTTCTTAAAGTCGCCAGTAATTAAAGTTTAATAATAATCATTGTACACTTTTAGGTTTTAAACGCGTTAGTGATTCGTTTGTATTCATAATAATTATTATTTATACAATGTGCTAATAAGATAAATAGTAAAGATGATGTTCACTTCAATTCAAAGGATTCACGTTAACCAAATCAAAGTTTGATGTTTCAACTATATTTTTATTACGATCTGAAATAGTATTGTAATCATAGTAATGCAGTATTTCTCAAAGTTATTTCAAATGAATGACAACGAGCTTCATCTATAGCCTTTGATAACCTCTCGAAAGGAGAAAACAGAAATAAGTCTATTGTGAAACGTCTGAAGATTTACATAAAATTTGACTCGACATAATAATAGCTTTTGAATTATTCTTCGTCATCGTTGTCTATATTAAAAAATATTTCATTTCAAAAGAAAACTGACATTTACTTATTATTTTTTTTACTTATCCATAAAATACATCTAGTACGTATTACTTTCTTTAATATACAACAATAATTTTCATTGTCGATCAAGAAAAGAGATACGCCATGGAAACACAAGACTTTTCGTTCCCCCAACGAACCCGAAGCATTATTATTTTTTCAATCCACTCGTGATTTCTAATTGTTTTCCGGTAGGAAAATATAAAAAACAACCTAAATGACCACTTTACTTATTGATAATAATAATAATGACTTCATCGCTTTATAATCGATGACCGCAAACTTTCCCCATAAAAAAACGGAAGGCGACCCCATTACAAGATACCATTTTTTGCGCTTCAGCACCCTCCACAAAGTGGACTCTGGCGATCTAAAAGTCACCCCCGTCATACGCCCGGACAATTCGATATTTATGACCTGGAAGACCACAAAACGCCGTAAACGTGCCCTGCAAAATTCGATTCACAATGTTAACACATAAATTTCATGACGTGCAATAATTATTGTCACTTGAATTATGACCACATACGCCGTAACTGCTCTCTGGACGGACATTTATCTCCGGAATTGTACACTCGGCCAGTAGCTATTCAACTGGGTCGTTTACTAATGCATCGTCTAATTTAATCTATTGGAATTACCGCGTGGGGCGTAGAAAAATAGGAAGGGTTCTTTATTTGTATGAGTGGTATATTATATTGCAATAGTTGTCGACTGATCATATAAATTATCATGTACTCTGGCGTAAGTTAATTTTTGAATCATTGGCATAAATATAACAGTGAGTCAAGATAATTAAATTGTATTGAAGTAATAATTTTTCTATATATGGTGGACAAAAGTCATCGCATTTGATTTATTAGGCACATTAACATTTAATTTAATAGAAAAAGTGGCTAAAGTAATTAATATGGTAACTACCACAATATCTATTTGTTTAATAAGATATTTATGTAATCTAGACAACAACATCCAACTATTTCAACTTCGCAAAGGAAACTTTTGATGTAAATAATGAAATTTTATCGAAATTTCTTTTAACCAGACAATTCAAATTTATATTGAAGGTGTGAAAAAAAAATATGTACATTTTATAATAATAGTTAATGTGCTTGGGAATTATTAAGATAAATAATATGTAATCAATTTTCTGGGAATAAAACATTTTATTTTTTATTATTAAACGGTATTAACATCAATTCTTAATTTTCACCGACAAAAATAGATTTTTTTCTCTTTATTTAAACTGTTTCTTTAAAATAGGGTCGACTATAATTATTTTAGCCTTTACTCAGTATATTTAAAAAAAATATTAATTGATGAAACCCTGTCTTTTAGTTATCGTATGTTAGAAACGTATGTTCTAAAAATAATTAGTGTAAGGAAAATAACATGCTTTTTTGCTACTGGACGACTCATTTATTGTATTTTATATGTTTTTTTTTGAGTTTTATGACAAATAATTTTTCACAATGCCATGCAAATATTGTTTTGAAATTATTGACCGTTACTAATTTATGGTTAAAATAAATATATTTTGTATGTAAAAATTGTAAACAAAATAACGCTACTCGTTAGACATTCAGAAATACATCGAGAGATTTGTGCGTAGGTTAAGTCACGGATCAGAACTTACGGATGTTTCTCTTGTATCCTTTTTCACCCTCACATGTCGATATTTATTATTCAAATAGTAATAAAAGTGACTTGCTCGCACGGTGCGTAAAGGAGGGAAGTAAGAGTTACGATCACCCCCATAGGTTTTACTACTACAGGAAGCTAAACAATAGATAAAATATCATAAAAAGAGAAAAAGTAGAAATAAGAAGTTGACGACGGACAACCAGTGGACATTATCATGGATCAATTTGACGGTCTGGTGGTAAGAGTGCATAATATAAAAACTCTCGGAGGAGTAACACCATAAAAACGAGGTTAACGTTGCTCTTACATAGACCACTACTTCGGATGTCCCTCTTAAAAATTTCAGATAAACTATATTCGCCGAAGCGCCTTTAAGATTGAGGGTTTTTTTATTATCTATTTAAAATAGAAAAGGCAAATTCGGCCTGTCCATGATAACGAATCCGAAATAAAAAGGAATAGAAGATAAACAATAGACGTCTACCTAAAATATGTATACTCATTTGGCTTGATAGTTTCGTACGACTAGAAAATCCCATTTTGTTTTATTTATGAATATTTCCGTTATGTGACTCTTTTTAGGTTTGAAATGAAACATTTTATGACACGAGTTCCGAAGAGAATGAAGTGAATTTAAAATATGAAAGCATCTTATTACATCTAAAGAATTGTATATTTATTTATAACGCTTGAATTGTAATTTAAAATTTAATATTAAAAATAAATGTACATCCAAATAATTAAATATGTGTCACTAAACCTACCAGTTTTTCAGTTAAAAAAATCAAAGTGAACATATTAATTATAAAAAGACTGGGACAATTAGGCGACTAAAAGATGGGAGGCAAAAATTCGAGTGCATAAAGTTATAAATTATTCTAAAGACGGAAACACAATTGAGAGTCACAGTACTAAGTGTCAACAGTAAAAGTAGAGCCAGTTACATAATGGAATTTCATTTTTTTTCTCATAAAGACCTTTGTTTTCGACATGCATCACATCTGTACTCCGTTTTAAAAGTTTTTGGCGACATGACTGCGGTGTTGCAGTCAATTTGCCGCCAGATTGAACGAGCCCCGTTTGATAAATGAAGTCGACATTCTTCCCTCAGCTAAACACATCCCTCGGTTATGGTCTGTCTCGGAGACAGCCTTATGCCTCTGGTATCATTAATTCGTGTCGGTCGACCAGTACATGTTTTTACGGAGTTTGCTGCACGCCCGCCCCCGTAAACCCTCCGCGACCTAATGACTATTACAGCCTGTTGGAAAATATTCGGCAAACGTTTGCATGATCGATGAACGATTTCTCTAGACGGTTAAAAACAATTTGTCACCGTACACAATACTAACCGAATTACTTTTAGAATAGGGAAAACGAAAGAGAACATTTTCGGCGATAAGTTTATTTAGCCCTCCTCCCGATGGGGTTTTTAATTCGTATCGCTTTGTATTGTCCAATTATTAAAGGACACAAGAGTTCGCATCGCCCTTTGAGATGTGATTTCGTGACGGTTTGGACGAGGTTAATTTTTCAAGCAAGTTCTCTCCAAATTTGTGACCGCCAGAAGTAATGTACATGAAAGATTCTGCGCCGAGCTTTAATTAATGAAAGTGACAAACTTTAAAACATATAATTGGATAAAAGAACCATGTTTAAATATATACGTTTATATTAACCTATTAATCTAGCTGTCATTTAATGAAAACTGGAATAATACATTAGCAGCTTCAATAAATTTGATTGAGTCTAGTTTTTGTTACAATTATCATATAGACAAAAAATCAAAACATTTATTTTGTATTATCATCTTTGATTCGTCATTCTGTTTTAAATACTTACAAATTGAAGAAAAAGATTTTTTCTTAAATATATTTTGTACAAATAAATAATAATAAAAAAAAATTACTACTATATAGTTAATTAATACATAAATTTAAAAAAGTATGCTTAATTAATTTTGCTTTTGAAATCAAAGAGATTTTTGATTAGAAAAATACTTTTTAAAATTATTATTTTTTATGCAAGTGAGAAAAGTCAATGATTCATTTTGATGTTAATACGGCGAACAACTTATGCAACACAATGAACAAATTCGTTTATATATTTTATTTGTTAATAATAAAAAAAGACGTTTTCATTTAATTTTTTTTCAGGTCTCATGGGTACGATGCCAATATAAAATAAATTATGCTGTTAGCAGTTCAAAGGGAAACTACTGAATACTCTGTGCTAATTAGCCCTTTGGGCATTAATTGGAGGAAATACTATTACAAGAAAACAATAAATAGAAACAATGGGGAAAAAATGTACCAGACACTAAGTACTCCATTAATTTTTGTTATATTTAGTGTTTTCCTTTTCCGTTGAATAAATTTGGTGGTATAAAAAAAAGTCATTTTTATAAAGAACTCATCAAAATTAGAGGTTAATGAGAGGGATGAGCTTTTATTTAATACGCGTAATAAAATGTTTGATAATATGAAATACTTAATTTTTTTTCTTAAAATTAAAAAAGGGGCTTATAAGCTCTTGGTTGTTAGCCTTAATTTGAATTTCTTAATTCTTTCTACCAGTCCCTAAATTAATTCAAAAGTATTAAAAAAAGTACTTTAAAAATATTAATGTCCTGTGTACAGTTCAAAGTTAAAATTACTTTAAAAACAAGAATTAAAAAAAAAAAATAGTTTTTTTTACAATCACGTCGAGAAAAAATTCTTAGACCATGTAACGTATTAAAATTGTGATGTGTATGTTACAAGTTACTATATTCAAATAGTGCACGTGGTACATCTTTAGATTCAATGTTACACTCATATATTTATTTATTAGATTAATAAATTGTACCTACTACCTGTTATCTTTATTCTAAATAATAAATTATTATAATTCTCAATGATTAAACACCTCTTTAATCACCCTGTCCTCCACCCTCTCCTATGTGATATCAATCCGTCTTAGAAAACATCACGAATATGTTCAAAAAAGAATTATTTTGATTACATCATCATTTGAAAAAAATTATTTATTATTCATTAGTTCAGAGAATTATGTTCGCTGTAATTATCGCTGTAATTAATTAAACCAGAGTTTTAATCATCATAGTAAATTGATGGATATGTTGTTCTAACGCCAATTGTACAATATTATTTTATAGAGAGGACCGGAGTATGTCAATATGTATATTTAATTTGTTTAACTACATATTTACTAACAACGAAAAATTATTGTCCACACTTAGTGTGATTTATGACTTATATCTTAAAAGAAAATACTTTGAATATTAATTGAATTAGTTAGAGTAAAAAATAATAATAATAGTTTTACACTCTCTTTTCAATTTTCGTTCTTCCACATATGTTAATGTTATAATAGTAAGATTTCATAATTTTTAATTCCTGATTTGTTATTGATTTTCAACATTGGTTTGATGTATTATTTTTACTTTTATGTACTTAATTTATATATTTGTGATTGGGTTTTAGTTTTAATTATTTTGGTTATTTATCAATAAGGAAAGGATTGTAAAAGAGGTAATATTTAAAAAAAATATCGTGTATCGTTTGATGCCATTTCTGTTTCTAAACAAAATCAAAAATGAATACAATGTACTCGTCAAGTTTCTGACGTGGATTTAAAAAAAATGTAGATCACTATCCTATGAAAAAGGAACTAACAATGAACTATGTGATGTTTCTCTACAAACATCAGTGGGCTTTTAAGGTCTTTTTTTTATGTACACGCATACACTTCACGTCATATATACTCAATTCGCTCTTTTCCGTACCACCTGCGGTGACTTATTTAAAAAAAAGTCTCTTTTGGAAAACACGAGCTGTTCCGATAGATCGGTAATTTTGTTGAGTGTCTGAATTTCCATTTTCCTCAAAAACATTAATGGATGGGCTACTCACTGGAAAAAATGCGGGTTTTTAAAGTGTGGTCTGTTTTTTGACAGTCTCCCTTATTTTCATCTACAATTGCGTTGAGTTTTATATTTACGAGTTCGCTGCGGGACGTTCAAACCCAAATATGAAAATATGAAAAAATTATTTTATTCTTTATTTAATTTCGTTTTATGATAGTTTAGTTTATTAAGAAATTTTATATATATTTCCATAAATTATACCAATTATTTGTAATTTTGTTTTATAATGCACAATGTGTAATAAAATATAATTATTTTATATTTCCTTTACAATATCTATAAATAAATTTTCGTATAATATTTGAGATAAATATTAAATTGTTAGCTCTAATACCACAAAAGGTTATCCCAAATTTGAAAAAACGTTTTTTGTCAGGAAATAGTTATTTTGATTTTATTGTTTAGCTTTTCATCAATAACAATTATTTCCCGTCTCATGAAAAAACAAATATCCCACGAGTGTCGCTACTACTACAAAAAAAGTTTATGACACCTCAAAACAAGATTTAAAGCCAAACAAACGGATTTTTTTCTTTTGATAATTCCACAATATTGAATACATACAAACCGCATTTGTGGATAAAAAACGATTAAAAATCTGTGATTGTATTTTAAACCAGACAATATGTACTGTAACAATAACTGTTGTTCTTTTGCAATTGTCTGGCCATCCGGAAATAAAAGGGCTGGTGAGAAATTGCAGCTTGACATTATAAGCGGAAACATTAGATTTTATTATTATTGTTATTGGTATTTTACTGATTCCGCGCCTTTTGTATTTTCAAAGGGTTCATTGGCACTGTAGCTGCTAATGGCGATCAGGTGTCAATGAATGATATGTGGCTTTTTCAATATAACTTTCACTCTTTTCTATCTTTATGAGCCAATAAATAATTGACTTCCGCATATTTGAACCCATTGGTTATTTTGTAATTTGTTTATGTCGTATTTGGAGATTTGTGTATGTGGTATTATCAGTTTGATAACAGATGGTCAAATAATGGGAATCAAAACAATTTTAACGGAAAACTCAAAAGAAGTTGATAATACAAATAAATGATTTTAGATTTGTGATTTTTTGGTACCTTATATGAATGAATGGTTTGAAATATTTTTTTTAATTTATCCAATAAAAAATATATTAATGCCATCATTACCATTTACTTAACAAATGTAATAAATTTATTTCATATTGATTGTAAATGTTTTAGAATGAAAAACAAACTAAGAAATTTTGTCGATGGCTGTTTTATTATAATATTTACGTTGGTAATTTCAATTTTATTGCTCCATTTCTAGTAAATCAATCGTTTATATCTTTTTTTAGTGCAAAAGAATATAAAACTTTTTTTTAAAGTTTTATGTAAATAAAGTATAATCAACTTTATTGTAAGGTCGAAATCCCAAAAGGCCAAAACATTGTTTATATTACAAATGTAAATCATGGCAAACAAAATTTAAAACAATGTGCTTTAAGTAAATTTTTCAATGATTTAACTATTTATTTACTATTTTATTTTACTAAAGTATGTTAATTTCCCAGATAAACTTAAATTAATTTAATTGAAGGTACATTAGACTAGTCTGGTTTATTTGTTTTTGTGCGTGTATTGTTGACTACTGAAAATAAACCATTGGGAATTCGTGGGAATAAAAAAGATACGTCTAAAACAGAACGGTCATCACTTCTGGCTATTCTTGTTTAAATTTTGCAACCGTAAAATCGGTTTGACAGGTCAAACAAATGCCAGATCAAAATCAATAAACAGCATTTTACGCCTAACACTGCAGCAACATGGTCTCAATGGTTACTTCGTCATTGTACACATTAGCACACGTGAGTCCCCAGGGTTAATTATGCACGTGGCCACGTCTTGCAGCCCTGCTCTTTCATTTGTACTTATTTTTTTTGTTTTTTTATTGAAACAGAATAAGTAGTATTCCTTATTTTTATGCTAACATAATGGTCTGTAAACTTTAAATTCAAAATAAAATTTGTTAATTTTTTTATTTCACTTGTTGAAAGAGATGTTAGGATTTAATTCTTTGAAGCATAAATTACTGAATTTGCAAGTTTTATTTATATGTTTTTGATTATGTTGTCACTACTCTTAAAATTGTATTCCGATAATTTTATAACCCCAACCCAATTGAAGAACAAATGACGACGAGACTATACAAATAACTTATATTCATAATACTTTTGTATTAAGTTTTCTCTTTCTAAACTATTGCATTAACTTTGGAAACTAATATATATATTTTCACACATTGTATTAACTACTTTTTAATAAAAAAAAACAAGACAACAACTAGCATTGTCTTTAAATGATTTGATATTTTTATTCTATCACTTGCTTATCCATATTCCCTATCTTTATTCTTCCTCCCTAAATATCCCTCTAAAATAATATATTGACAAGTATAAATCAGATATTCGTGTTCCGTCTCTATCCTATTTTTTTATATTTTATGACTTTTCCATTGTGAAATTATTAAACCCAAAGAAAGAAAAAGTTCCCTCGACCAAATAAAGTAAAATGCTCGGGGGAAAAAGGTTTCTTGGATAGGGTTGACGTCTGGTTATGGGGTATGGTACAAACATGACGCTACCGCCGAGTACTACCGTTGAAATGATAATAAATATAAGTGATTTCAATGAGATGATTTTACAAAAGATGAAAAACTGTTTTGCGTTTATTTCTACTGTTTAAAAGTAATGTTAAAGTAAAGTAAAGTTTTCTTTTGAAGTACACCGTACATAAAATCACAAGACAAAAAATTAGTATTGGTTTGTCGTTGGGTTTGTTATTGTTTACTAATTAAGAAATTTAACCAAAAACTTAGTGTATGGTTTATACAGAGTAATTGATTTACTTCTTTTAGAGTCATTATTTAAAATTACACTTAAACTCGACTTTAAAGTTTCAAAAAATCGGTAAAACTCAATGGAACAGTCCCAAACTCTTATTAAATATTATAAAACAATTTTAGGAAAATAAAAACAATCTTTTTTGTAATTTTAGCTTCGATACAAGGCTGAGAAGGTAATAATTTTACTATATATTACTATGGTTCTTTTTATATCTGTCACTACTTTTTGTTAGCTTTCGCTCGACCGATGTGATTCAACAATATGTCAATAGATCACAAACTGTATCTAGTTGAAAATATTAGCCTTAAAAATTAGAAAAAATTTCCTCGTTTCCTATAAACCCATAAATTTTGACATTTAAAAATTTTTTTTTCTTAAAACTGCGATATCTTTTTTAAAAATAGACTAATCAAATCATTATTTAAAAATAAATGCATTAGGTAGTTTTCTTTTATTCGATAATAACTTTTCGTAAATTTGACCTTTTGCCTGTCCACAGGAGGGATTGAGTATAACTTTTATACGAAACATATTATTTTGACACGGTCTTTTTCCACTGTATATTTAAAAAAGTTAATAACTTCTTAAATACCCCACTGTGCTGAGTTTTGTATGATAATTTTACTGTGTAATTATTAAACTTCAAAAATCCATATACAGAGTAATTAGTTTATCATAAATTGCTTGTTTTTTCACAAAATAAATATAATATTGAAAAAAAAAGTGTTTGATTCCTTTTAGTTGCATATATTTCTTGTTTAATCAGCTAATAATTACTTTTTAGAACCATCCTTTATAATTGAAAGGGATGTCAACTTTTTTTTAATTGGCAACATTTAACTACCTTTTATAGTAGAAAATAATATAATTAAGAAAATTAATGGTCGATAACAACTTTTTGATGAGGGCGTCATCTTTATTTTCTTAAATAGTTACATACATATTTAACTAGCTAATAAAATATAAAAGTTTTTTAGTATTTAAGAAGTTATTAACATTTTTAAATATGGAGTGGAAAAAGACGGTGACGCAATAATGCTAAATTGAACAACCTCCTCTCTATATTTTAAAATAGTATAACTTCTAGAAATAATGAGTTCATAAGTGGTCATCAACCATATATTTTATTTTTAAATCATTTTTTATTTTATAAACAAAGTTATATATGTACGTTAATATTTAAAAAAATTAAGTTGACATTACTTTAAGCTATAAAAGATGATTCTAAAAAGAAATTATTAGCTGATTAATCAAAAAATATATGTAACTAAAAATAGCCAGGACTTATTTTTTAACATTGCAATTACTTCTAAAGTAATCGAGTGGTTTATGATAAACCGGTAGCCCTGTAGATTTCATATATAAATTATATAAAATAAGGTTATGGCTGATGTCTTGTATTTTCTTTTAAAAATAAACTTATTTATAACATTATTTTTCTTGGCTCTTTGAGCAATATTTTTTTCTTGATTCATAAGCAGTTAAACAATTTTTGAGTCCATACTTTATGAGAGTGCAAACTTATTTTTGAAATGATAATATACTTATTAAATAGGTAAAGGTATTATAAAAAGTGATCTAACCTAACAAATGAATGATTAGTTTTAGAGAAATTTGGTGGTTAACAATAAATTATTCATCGTGTAGTGGATTTTTTTACAAAAGTCATAATATTTCATTATACAAAATTCTTTTATGGTAAATCTAATTGTCTTTTAACAATGAATATTTTTGAAATTGGCATAAAAATTTTCGATGCTATTCGGAAATTGAACTTAACATAGTGTAGTAGAAAGACTGACGACTTAAATTTTTTGAGTTTATATATTTTAAATTTATAAAAAAAACTTAACAATATATTTATTTATTAATTACCTTATAATAATTCTAAACTTATTAGTCAATTTCATGAAATAAATTATATAAATTGTTTTTGCTTTATATGAACCGCATGTCTTTTGAAATTGATAATTTTTTTGTTTCATTTTAATAGAAAAATGTTTTTAAATTATGATATTATATTAATAACAATAAATATTTTAACAGGAATAATAAAATAAACTTAATTTATATGTTAACGTAATATAAGAGTTCAATGTAATATTTATATAATTTTCATAAAAAATAATTGTACAATATTATGATTGTTTCATTAACATTACTTCCGAATCAAATAAATCAGCTCCTTCTAGTACAGTTCTATTGTGTAATGATATTATGTCATTGTAGTGACGTTTTTTATTTGATATCGCATCGTGCTCCCACAGCTCATCATTTTCAAGAATAGCATAGTTTTTTTTTAAATTTGTTAGTGTCCTGCATTCTAATAATTTTGCTTTGTATTGGTCTATATTTTCCATTGGAATTGGAATATCTGTTAATTCGTCATTTGGACTAAACACCTTCAGAATATTCGTAATACAGTCAAGGGGTAATGTAGAAATGAAGTATTTCTTAAATGTTTCATAAATACGCACAAATAGTTTTTTAAAGCATACTATGTTTAAATTTATTCTTAAATGAACTGGATTTACTTTCTTTAAATTATAGACTACTGTCTTATTCGGGAAACTATGGAATCTATTAATGACTTCAACTACAAACGAACAAAATCTATCGACTAAAGTTATTCCAACACTTTCCATAGTATTTAGGTAATAAGTATACTTCTGAATAACTTTTAAATTGCTATCATGACGAATTAGTTCTCCTAACTTTATTTTAGTGGTATCATTTTTTGGAACAGGAACAATAATTTGATTTTGTTGCGTCCACGTCCACGGCTTTTTACATTCTCTCGGGTCGAAATATTGTAATTTCTTAACATCAGGATCATCCAACAGTGTATTTTCATCATAAGGTAGAGGACAAAGAGATGCATCACTACCAGTGTAGTATTTATTTTCTCGTAAAGTTAGCTTAATGAATGCTGGATATGATCTTATGAGTTCATATAAATTATCTTTGGTAACAAAAGTTTGATTTTCAATATTCGTAAATAGTTCATTAATCTCATGAACAATAATTGCATTTGAAATTATTATATTCAACAAAATAATGTGTATATTTCCATAATAATTCATATTACCTGTATCAGTAGAATTAAAATAATTATTCACTCGTTATGACTTCTAGCACAGAAATTCCGTAAGTTCGTTTAAAACATACATAATAGTATTTAATAAATTATTTTTTATAAAGCTCAAGGTTAATTCTCTATTAATAAAAAAATTACAAGGATTTTATTATTTACATGTGTTCGTTTGTATATTTAACAAATAAAGTAAATAATAATTCTCAAAATTATTGTAGTTAAATTATTATATATTAATAAAATAATTAATCTCATTCCATTGAATCAATAACTACAATATATAAAAAAAATATATATACATGTATTGAAATTAGATTTAAATTTCTTTAAGTCTTTAAAATTCTAGTTTATTTTTATTCTAAATAAAAAATCTAATAATTTTTAATTTAACAAGTGTTCGGTTATTTTTTCAACATTTATTATAAATTTATTGAGTTAATATGTTTTTTTTAAATTTTAATTCTCTTAATTTTTTGCACAAAACATGAATAGAGACTAACGGTTAAACTATATAAGGTGTTCAGCATTTAAGCAAATGATTTCAATTGTTCTCTTATTTTGGGACAATTGATCTGTTTCCTTACTTTTTGAGCACTTTTTTTGAGTGCATGTATTTAATATGTTTTTAATCTACAAATGATATATGAAATGTATTTTTGATATTGCCAACATTTCTCAAATTTCAGAAGTTTAAATATATATTTGTGTGCATTTCATTTGTATCATTAATTCAAGACTTTTTGTTATCACACATCCTACAAAATTACAACGATTTTATAATGTACAAGTGTTTATGTAGTTAATCAATAAAATCCAAAAAATATGGTTAATTTAGGAGAAATTAAGTCGTTAACAATAAATTTTAATCAGTTTTATATTATATCCAATTATATAGCCAATATTTTTCAATAATCGGTACAATATTTATTTACCTTTGATTTACTATTAATACTTAACTTTTAATGAATTATAAATAGATATTCATTAACATAGATAGATCTTTAAGTTATATTTTCCTCCGACAACCTTACACAGTGTAATTGTATATTGAAGTAAAGGATTTAAGTAATTACACATTGGATCTAGCTGTTTTTTTTTTTGTTAATTTTATTTAATAAAAAAGTTATAAATTCTGAAAACCCAACTAAGTAAACTATTGTACTTACAACACGTGATTATAATACACAACTTGAATATTTAGCTTATTAAAATATGAACAGTTGTGAGTAATATAATATAAACAAATATTTTATACAAAAGTATTTATGTCTGATATTTTTTAAATGGCTGAGCGATGTTTTAATAAGACAATTCGCTTTTTATAACTTTGAAAAACTGTAAATAAATGTTTTTTCAATATCATTTAACTTTGAACTATGCTACGTGAAATATTATAAATTTATAATATATTAAAGTAAACTCAATATATCGACATGTAAAAAAAATATGATTACACTAATGACAATACGCATCTACATTTTACCAAATTTCCAAGAAAATGAAAATGTCCATTAATAAAAATTGCCTAGTAAAACTTAGAAATTGACTAGCTTATATTAACAGAATAAACATTTTAATTTACAAAAATAAGTAAATAATAAAAAAATTAGCCTGGCCACGATTTATTTTTTATTATGGTGGTAGCTCTAATTTTGTTAATTTCGCATAAATAAATTTCGATGGGAAAATAAATAATGTAAGATAAATAGTTTGATTACAAATATTATGCACAAGAAAATTACTAAAATTTTGTGAAATATATTGTTATTGATGTAACGTAATATCTTTAATAATTAAGACAGTATTTTAGAATTTATAATAAAAATATCAAAATAAAGTATTTAATAAGTATGCAAAGCATTAATATAACTTAAATAAATTATTGTTCAATCACTACGCCACAATGATATTAATTTTTAAACAAGTATCATTTTATATATAATTTCCTTTAATTTTAATAGTTTAAAACGACAAAAATGTATTTAGATTTACATCTAATTTATTTTTTATTTTCTGTGTTTATTACGTTACATTTTTTGTTTTAGTAGAATAAAATTGTTCATATTGAAAATTTCAATTTTAAAAAAAATAGAAATAGATGTATTGTTTGAAAAAAAAATTGTTTGTTAATTAAAACACCTTTTTGATTAAAAAGACCTTTTTGTTGATTTTACTAGGTACATTTACTAAACTAATAATGAATAAACATTATGCTATAAGAATAATTTTTAATACAACATCTATATGTAACATATTAATTTCTAAGACTTATTATTAAAGTAGCATATTAAAAAAATAAGCAACAAAACTACCTTAAGCGCAGTAAAAATGTTATTTATTACATGATAATAATAAAAAAGAGTAAAATAAATTTTGTAATACGCTAAAAGTACCAAAAGTCATGAGATATATCTTCTTTTGATGACTTATTTAAAAATTCCGCAGTACAATGATCGTTTTACTTTTTGGTAAAAGTTTTGTAAACATAAAAAAATCGTATTTAAAGATTACATAAACGGGCAGATGACAATTGATGCTAAATAAATCCCTTCATTTCAAGTTTGAGCTAATAAAAATAAAACGGTGATAAAAGTTGAAACTTTTGAGTTTTATTTCTCTAATAGATATTACTTATAAAAGTATTTTGACACTTTATTTTTTCTAATTTAACTTTTATTTGGTAAAACATTTTTTCTAAGTAATAAAATTGTCAAAATAATGTTATAATTTAATATTAGTCAACAAATTAAATTTAATATACATTGTTTTGTACGATTTAAGGTATCTGCCGCATTTTATTCAGTTATTGATACAAAGAATTATCGTTTATTACATAGTATTTATTAGCATAGTCAGATAAGTGCTTTAATTTAGCTACATTTTTTATTATAACAAATGTTTTGCATTAGAGTCGAAATGTCTCCCCTACGGTATTTTAATTTACATTATCCCCTTTGAATGGCAATTCACACGTGTCGAAAATAGGCCGTTTATGTACAGATTTTACACGCGTACCTCAGACAATGTAAACGAACGTTCGCGTGCCGAGGCTTTGTAACTAACGACAGTAGACTAAAATAATCGACATTTTGAGGACACGAGGATCATCGAGGTCAGACGCGTGACGTCATAACGGCCGCAGTTGCAACCGCGCATGTAAGCCTCTCTCAAACACTTAACGCATACATGTGCGCTCAAGTCACAGAAAGGTCGATAAACTCTTACTCCAACCCTCCCCTTTTCGTTAATGGAGATGCAGCTGGCCTCCGATGGAGAAACGCTGGTTAGGGGAACGGTGTACACGCGTGCGAAATCCTAAGAGGCCGGTTAAAAGGGTCCGTCTTGCGAGTAGCCGTCGTCTTTCAGAGAATTATTCAATGGCTAGAAGGTGCGAATAATGAACGAGACGAGGGTTAAGCGACTGAATGGAAAAGAATACTCTAAGTAAACATCGGACGTATGAAGCCATCGATTTTTTATTGTTTTTAAGGGAGGGTTAGTGCACTTCGGTGTCGCTGAACCTCGGTTGGCAACAAAGAGCGCACTCGACATGTATATACATAATTTTGTGTTTGGTACGCATGTGTGTAGCACACATATCAGAGATTTCTAGACCGCCGTATTGTGACGTCACCCAAGTAGGCCTACCAATGTGTATTTATTGAAATGTACAGCAATACACCACGTTTGATAATAATCGCATGTGCATCCTGCTGCTCTCCCGTGTCGTTGAACCCGGTGGTTATTTGCGTGCCCCTATCCACGATCCGCATGAACGGAGCCATCCCTTCTCATTCACCTCCCCTCAAATGCATTTCATCCCATGTACACGGTGTACAACAACAGAACGGCCTAACCCGCGATCACGGACAACGCGTGGACGACCTACATTGGGTCTGCCGTCTACCGTAAAGTAGTTCATTATGTCGGACGTTAACCCTCCGAACGTGGAAACGTGCGAACTGCATGCGCAACTTTTTTTCGTTCCTCTCCTTTCAAGTAGACAAGAGCGTGCAGCAGCCAGATGTCTAGAAATTTCCTCGTGGACCAATAACCGTAGCTCAAAAAGGGGTATTGTCTGGTACGAGGACGCCACGTGTAATTTAACGAATCTGTAAATTATGAACAAAATATGCGAGTGATAAATGTTGGCCTACCTCTTAACCGTTTTCTGAAACTTCAATAGGCCGTTATTTGTGTTGTTAAATACTTCCAAAATCTCGAATAATATTGAGACGATTACATTTTTGGCAGATGCGTTGTATCCGTTTTTCATTGCAACGCGTTTAATAAGTTATATATTTTATTTGATTAATTATGAAATAAGTACAGTGTACAAACTAATAAAAATAATTGTAGTCTTTATACTCTTTTAAATATGAATTCATTAAATGGCAAAGTTTTGAAGAAATTTGATTTACAAAGCAAGAACACAAATCAAAAATAACAAGTATGACTTAATGTAGACATTTTTTATTTTATGCCATCTTTTCAGGTCTCGGATTGAAACATTTTTTTCGTTTAGTGTTTAGATATTACTATATTTTTACGATTAACGCCAAAAAGGTTCCAAACATAATTCATTATCATAAGCAGTTTTAAGAACTTATTTTCGTTTTACGCTATAAGTTTTATTATGTTTAACAATATTATAATGATGTCGCGTATTTTTGGTTTTTTGATTACGTTTTGATAAAATTTTTCATTTTTAACGGTATTAAAACTATGTATATTACTTTAATATTGTTCTTTTTCTCCTCTTGTCACTAACTAAATGTTTAAACGATTAATTTTATTATATTCTTCTCTTTCTCATTATAAATGGCTTGTAAAATTTGTACTCTTTCCCTCTAAGGCGTTATAATTTTTTGTTATTTTTTTACAACAAATTAATATTATTATTTATTTCTTTAAGATAATACTAAATATTGAAAGTAATAAAATTACCGCTTGGACTAATATTCATTAGAAAATCTTGTATCCATTAAAGTTATCTGTAAAAATATTCCTTTCATTGAATTGTGAACAATATAACGACCATTGTTATTATTATTTATAATGGCTTTAAAATATTTTAACAGCTATATTTCGTCGTTACGGATAAGATTTCGATTGAACTACAAAAAACGAACATAAAATACATCGTTAAAGATATTGGAAGAATGAAAACCCAGAGATATTTGATTTACAAGTACAATGTATTTAATCTATAAAATGTCTATACGTATATGTGTCAGAATTAAGTATAAAGTATTTAAATCGCGTAAAAAATAAAGTTGTTAAATTCAAACAGTTAATTTCCCTATAACATTGAACATAAAACTGTCGAACCACAATAGAGAGTTTAGTGTTTCGATATAAAACAGTATAGCTAATAAATGCTATATAGTTTATTTAATTTGATTGCGTAGTACGTCGAAATTACTCATTTTGCCAAAACGATGCCTAACTAATGACATGTCTAATGGTACCGACTATCCCCTACTACTACTGTACTTGTTACGGATTTACTTTTTATTATTGCATTTTATTTGCTTATCATAAAAGCGTCGGCCGCGATAGTAAACTCTACTAAATATGATTGTGCCGCTAGTGGAGGAGCGATTATTTTACGACCTTATCGAATATAATTTGCATCGTGAAAAATACCAATGTACACAATCATTGGCAAACGGATTTTTATTGTTCTTCCGCTGTTTGAAAAATTCGGTAACAGGATTATTCGCTCTATATAATGCACTGTACGTATAACGTCATTACTCACCCTGAGGGTAAATGAAAAAGAGAGGAAGGCGTAGGAAAACCGAAGGAAATGATAATAATAAAACAAATTGAATATTTTTAACGTATACACATTTTGGCCAATAAAAACGGAAAACCAATTGGTAACGAATTTTATTTTAACGAATCTCATAAAATGTTAACGTTTTGTCGTTAAAATAATTCATTTTTACTCGTACAGAGTGGTAAAAAGTCACAGACGAAGATCTTTATAAGTATTATCAGCGCTGTTTTGTGAAGCTATTTAGTGTTATACTGTTCAGTACGTGTTTTTTAACTTATATGTCAACAATAAATAGAAGCTCATTTAATCTCGATTTAAATAAATATAACGAGATTAATAAATAAATTAAACAAATATTTTCATAAGATCAAACTTTTAAAAAGTTCTAAATTCAGAAATTGAAGAGTAATTAAATATAAATGATATAAGCTATACACTATAAAACCAGCGAACAACTATATACGTTATTGCACTTCACCTCTAAGAAATGTAAAAAATGGGAGAAACGACTAGAAAATGCATCAAAACTTCCAAAATATTATATGCATTATTAAAGTTGTTGGAATACTTGTACAAAGCCTAAATAAGGTTTATTGCCATTTTACGATCTAGTCCACAGTAATAATTGGTTTTATGAAAAACGATGATAACTTTGAATTTTATTGCCACAACTGCCATCTTAGAATATTATTATTCACATAAATAACGCTTTTATGTGTAGATATAATATCTGTAATTGATAATTCGTTTATCATTGCTATTTAATAATTATTAGTAATACTCGTATGTTTAGTTTATGACGCCAGTCTAACAGAGATAAGTCATAGATTTTTGTGGCATTCAAATTCACTAGCACCGGTTGTTAATTTTAAATATTTAACTAAGCTTGTATTTTTAAAAATTGTATCATATCAAAAATAAAAATGAAACTAAAATTCCTAATTTTAGTAATACTTAAGAATAAAATGTTTTAAAAAATGACTTTAAATTAAAATTTATGAATTTTAAATAGTAACTCCATTGGTTTCTAGATGATTTTGTTATGCAGTAACACAGATTTAACCAAAACATTTGTATGAATGTGTATTAAAAATTTGGCTTCTTGTCTAGAGAATTTGTTGACGACCCTAGAATATTTGAGAAAGGGTATTTTGTTTGATTTATCAAAACATTCTGAGTAGTAACAAGTAGTCTAATGATTTTCAGATACTTGTAACTGTACCGGTGTAATTGTTACGGGGAATAACTTTATCTTGTTATGCGTCCTTATCCCAGTTAAGAAGAAGGAAATTTCGGACCCTCGAATGAGAAAGGAAGGGAGTGTGTGACAACTGACAAGCTTTAGTTCTAGATAATATAACCCTCGGCCACGGCCGGTAATCTCATCGTGGATATCTGCCTTAATTAATTGGCCCTGTCTTAAACTTTAATTGGTTCCGTGCGTCTTATTGGATATCTTGTCCGAACAATTTTCGCAGTAACGACTATACTAGTTCTTAGACAACTCTGACATATAATGTGTATAATGGACTGGAGCCGAGGGAGTTTTCAATTTCTAGAAGTTGTTTCTGAATTTGAAGGGAAGCTATTTTGTCGAATTACAAGTTGTCCGTTTTTGTTATTGTTGTTAAACAGACAGCATCAGTGCTGTTTAATAGTAATGTAATCCGAATACTAGTATTGGTCATATGTAACTACTAGAGAGTGGACTCAATAATATTATACTACAGCAATGAGATCATAGCTAAGTATTATAATTCGTGATATAGCTTACACCGAGGCAACATTATTAGACACTCTCGTGTTGCTAAAATAAACACTCATAAATCTCATTGTGAATAATCAATATATCTTTCAGCATTAAGTTTTGAAAAATTTAGTGTGTATGTCCACACGCGTTACAAGCTCATAGCAGCAAGACCTCGGCCATTCTTTCTATCGCCCTACCCTATTGTGAACGTGTCAGACTTGAAGAAAAAAATTACTCGTGCGGCATAGTACTTAGAGCTATTCACGTGTTTCGTCTGGTTGGTGAAGGCATGCGTCTGTAAAAAAACGGCCGTTGTTGCGCAACATGAGAACACTGACCTCCCTCAACCGACCGAATATAAGCGCACAACGGATTATTATTATTATTATATTCAGTATGCAAATCCCTCGAGTCGCTCCAAATCCATTATGCCATCCCCACGTAATAATAAAGAAAAAAAAGACAGGGGTTCTTATAGTCTCTTTCATCTGGAAACTTCATGCCGGTTCTTATTCAATCAATTTCATCGTTAAACTTTTATTACGGACAGACAAGGTGTGCACTACATATTTTTTTACGTCTGTGAATACTTCAAATCAGACTCGACATATTTTCTATTGCTCAATTAAAAAATGTCCTTTTTCCAATAACCATAAGTAAGTAATTTTAGACACCCTACGTTAGTCTAGGTGAATGTCCGGTCAGTTGAGTGTTTATCTTCCTACTAAATTATAATGTAATTGGTGAGGTTCCCACGAGGCATATTACTGTACTTTAATCTCAAAGATCCAATCGTTATTTAATTAATATAAAATGATAGTTTAGAAATTTTATAACAGTACAAATAACTAGAAAGAAAATAAAGTCGACAAGATTTAGCTATCGTATAAACTCCACAATTTTTTTATTTTTTAGAGCAATCAAAACTAAAGTTTCTTAAGTTTTCGTTAAAATTTTCATTTATATTTTTGACTTAATGATAAAGTAAATTTTAAAAATAATCTTTACTATGAAAAATATTTACACCACGGAAAAAAATGAAATGATACATTAATTTAATTTCTATTTTATTTTTTGTTCAATTATAAATATAAAAATATTTTTAATTAACTAATGTGTCTAAAAATTATCAATGTCTTTCAAAAAATATCACTAGTTTATTTTTAGCTATTTGATACCTTAAACAATATTTAATGAGTAATAGGTAAATTTGAATTTAACCCATTATGTTTACTAATTTGCTTAAGCTATTTATCCAACACCAAACTTCGGTTGACCAAACGAGTTTTAACTCATTATCATATTGTTTTAATTATTTCAAGACGTTACGTCCCGACGAACTTTGTTTACTAAAATAAAAACTACCGTAACACAACCGTTTTAGTACACGTGCACGGGAAACTCGTGTGCAATTTTGTCTTCATTGCCATCACGTGCAAAACCGACTAGCAGATCTTTTTCTTTTAGATCTACATATTATATTTGTTGTATTCTAATATTATACCTATTATCTCTATAAAATGTTTAATATTCACACATGTTTTTTTTTTAATACGTACACTGTTGCTTCATCTAATTTTTTTGAATTAATCATTACTGAATTCAATATAAAACGGCTTAAAAGTTTAAATCAGGTTTACGCCAACAAAACTGTTTGGTCAGGCAAGTTGAAGGGATGTCAATATCTGTAGAGTTCCATGAATAATATTAATAATCCCTTGGAGCTGTGCATGAATTTTATAATAATAATTTGAACATATTTGTTTATTAAAAACAATACCTTAGTCGGACCCCTGCGTTCTTTATAATCCTTTAGTCTATACCAAGCTGCTATATTATGATCGTTAATCCTTCACAAATATGTCCCTTCACTAAAAACCACACCCAACCTTTTGTGGTTTTCTGTCTTTGTACCATAGTATAAAAACAAAATATTTACAAAATGATTATAAATACTAACTTTACACTATTTAAAAAAAATATATTTCTATAAAAAAAAAACCATGTTCCAATTCAATGAAATTTATTATTAAAACCCAATTTAGTAAAGTCTGTGACATGGCACAGTGAGAATCGGTATACAAGAGCCCTTTATAGATTGAAATCTGACAATAATTAAAATTGTTGTCATATGTCGCTTTGATGCAATTGTACTCAGAGAAAGTTCGATTATTTTAAACTTTAATAGTGATTATAATATTGATATTGTTGATCAGTAGGAATAGAAATTGAAATTTATCATGAGTCTTTGGTTGCTAGACTATATATTCTTTTGTGAAGAGGAAAACTCTAAAACTTCTTTTTAAAATGGTTTTTTGTTTACTAATATATGAAAAACCTTCCCTACGAATATTTTTATTTAACAACTATTAAATATAATTTATTTTTATTTTCAGTAAAAGATGCTATTTTTAAAGGCGGAATATCATCTCGTTTTTACATTTTTGGACTAATGTATAAATACTAATGATAAAAAATAATTATTAATTATTAATAATTAAGTAAAAAGTAAGAACAATTAAGCTGCATTTTTTTTAAAACAATTTTCGATTTCTTTGACAACGTTAAGAACATATTTAATAGAAATTATTTGTAGTAATAAACAAGTTATATATTTAAAAAAAATTCAAAATATGGAAATCTTTATGATAAGTTGTCATAGTGTTAATAGAATTTTGAAATTCAATTTGTTTTATTTTTTCAATTTTTTTTGCATTTTATATATTTTTTTTTTTATGTTTTGTTAGTTGTTCAAAAACTAAAAACCTCTCCTCCAATAAATATTTTAATGTAGATCACGATTAATTAATGCAA